GACATTTCCCTCCAGCTACTCGTCTTTCAGGATTTGAAGAGGAAACAAGCGCAAAGCATCCAGTCTATGTCTCTGATCTCGTACTGTAGCTGCCGCGGAGTATGCTTACCGGTTAGCACAACATTTATCCCTTTTAAACGCTTATTTAGCTCGTTGACGAAATCTGGCCGCATCTTTGATTGTTGTGTCGAAAGTAGCAGTCACTAATCGGTGACCTCTTCGAGTGGCTGTCAAAACCACTGTTTCGCTTCAGTGTCACTGCATCGGTGTGTAAATGTCAGCTTACTTATGAAAAGAGGAGACCACCTGTATCATGGCACGCGTAGATGACGGCCTTATTTCACGTCAGTCACTACATATCTCATTTCCTCAACAGTCGTCTTACTCCATGCTATCTTCTGGATCAAGGCGGGGCTGTAAATAGTGGGGTCAAGACGCCGTTGTTTTTTTAAAAGAAATGACGATCATCATATTTGTCGCTCTTTAATTCCCTCACAAATTACCTACGAAATTAAAGTAAATCAGTTTATTCAAGGTCAATAGGCGCAGACCAAGAATTTCATGTATGAATATTTGGGCCGAAATCCGGCCACAACGGGCAACCTTGTCGTAAATGGTAATGTTCCCACGAACTAACGAGTTATATCTCACGAGCCCCTAGCCTTAAAGGCAGCAAGTAAAACGGATCAGTGAATAATATAGAGATTTTGAACGTTAAGAAACCTGACAACAGACCACGACAGAGGAGCACGCTAGCAAGGCGGGTTGTACAGGTGTGTCGTTTCTCGTCACATTCAAACAAGCAATGCGTCAAAGAAATGGGGATTAAATTGTCGACGGTAAATTAGTCAGGTACCTCACCACAGTACTCTCCTTCTAGACCGGAGGGCGGCGAAATACGGCGCCGGAGGATATGCATAAGTGTAGAAGAAATGCGTAACTAAACGATCCGGGAAATGAACGCGACGGCCACTGCGAGTGATGTAAGCAGGAGGTACAGTCGATGAGGGTTGACTGCGTGCTGTGGTGGAGGATGATATTGCAGTTGGATGCTGTAGACATGTAGAGAGAGGGAGGATGCGGGACGCAGCGGTGGAGGACGAGGGGAAGGGCGAGGCAGTGGGCAAAGTGAATGAGCAGGGGATAGGGAAGATGGAGGAACAGGGGTTAGGGGGTCAGCACATGTTTGTCCTTGTGACAGGTCCGGCGGCTCCATTGCAACAGCACTCTTGACCCGATTGACACTGACCAAGTCCTCCTTGTCACTGCGAAGAATCCGGAAGGTCTGGGTGTTGCGCACGAGCACGCGGAACGGTCCTTCGTATGGTGATTCCAGCGGCTGGCGCACACGGTCACACCGGACGAACACATGAGTACACTTGTCCAGGTCTTTTTCGACATAAGACTCAGTTATTGGAGCTCGAGGTGGAACCGGGGAAAGCGAGCGCATAAATGGCCGCAAACGGTGCACAAGATGGTCAGGAGTCTCGTCGGCCACACGAGAGGTTGGGGTGATCATCTCGCCTGGCAGGTGATGCCGAGGAGTGCAAGAGGAAGGTTGTCCGACCAGTTTCCTGGGTCTTCGACGGCACGCAGGACGGTCTTTAGCTGACGATGGAAACGTTCAACCATACCGTTGGCAGCTGGATGGTAGGCTGTCGTCCGAATGCCTGTGCAGCCAAGAAAACTGAGCAGCGTTTGGAAGAGTGCCGACTCAAACTGGGCACCACGATCAGTCATAACCGTGGATGGGGCACCGAACATGGCGAACCAACGACTAACGAAGGCCTTCACGATAGTTTCGGCCTGAACATTCGGCAAAGGAATAGCTTCAGCCCAGCGAGTATATCGATCGACACAGGTAAGGAGGTGGGTGAAACCATTAGAATGAGGCAAGGGGCCTACGACACCCAGGTGCACATGGCTGAACTGTGCGTCGGGACTGGGGAAAGTGCCTGGTGGGGACTTGTTGTGACGCTGCACCTTTTTGAGCTGGCAGCTCAGACACGACCGAGCCCAAGCTTTGACGTCCTTGTTCATGCCAGGCCAGACAAACCTTTCCGCAAGGAGCTTTTGAGAGGCTCGGATCCCAGGGTGGGAGAGTCCATGCAAAGTTTTAAATACAGCTCGACGCATCGAGGTGGGCACGAAAGGGCGATGAAAGGGAGTTGAGACGTCACAAAGTATGGAACCAGAGCCGGTGGTCAGAGGAATGTCTTTGAGATGGAGACCACTAACAGACTCGTCACCAGGACTACCGACTCTCTGTTGCTCAGACGCCATGGCACAAAGATCGATCCCGTGTGAGAGTTAGAGGGAAGGCAGTGAGGGTCTGGACAGCATATCAGCCACCTCATTCTTCGTGCCATCAATGTGGCGGATGTCGGTGGTGAATTGGGAGATGTAGTCCAGGTGGGCGATTTCCCTCGGATTGTACTTGTCGGAGTGGGAACGAAGTGCAAAAGTCAACGGTTTGTGGTCAGTGAAAACAGTGAAATCACGACGTTCAAGGAAATGCCGGAAATGCTTCACAGCCAGGTAAATGGCAAGTAGTTCACGGCCAAAGGTACTGTAGCGTGTCTCAGCTGGTAAGAGTTTTTTGGAGAAAAACGCAAGTGGTTGAGTCGAACCAGCAAGGTGTTGTTGAAGGACTGCACCTACAGCTACGGTCGAAGCATCCACCATCAGAGACAGCTGAGCTTCGGGAGCGGGATGTGTGAGTAAAGGTGGCATCGGCAAGGGAATTCTTGATTCTCTCAAAAGCAGTCACTGCTTCACCAGTCAGCTCGAGAGGACCTTTGGGACCAGAAAGCATGTTGGTGGGCAGCAGCATGAGGTCAGCACAGTTCGGTAGGTACCGACGGTAAAAATTGACCATGCCGAGGAATCGCTGTAACTGACGCTTGGAAGTTGGAGGAGGAAAATTACGAACTGCTTCAACCTTGGAGGGGAGGGGACGCAAACCTTCAGAGTCGACCTGATGGTCAAGGAACTCGAGTGAATGCACACCCAACACACACTTGGAGGGGTTGATGTCAACGCCAAACTTGTCAAGACGGTCAAACACCAAGGCAAGATGCTCTTTGTGTTCTTCCTCATTCCGGCTGGCAACCCAGAGGTCATCAGTGTAGGCTTACACAAAGTGTAGGCCACATAATACATGGTCGACGAACCTCTGGAACGTTTGGGCGGCATTACGAAGACCGAAGGGCATGCGGACGAACTCAAACAGACCGAAGGGTGTGGTGACGGCGGTTTTAGGGATGTCCTCAGGGGTGACTGGAATCTGATGAAAAGCACGCACCAGATCAATCTTCGAGAAAACCGCTTTGCCGAAAAGGGATCCAGCAAAGTCCTGAAGATGAGGCACGGGGTACCGATCAGGAATGGTAGCGCTGTTGAGGGCTCGATAATCACCACAGGGTCGCCAGTCGCCTGATGTTGCCTTGGGCACCATGTGCAGTGGGGACGCCAAAGGGCTCTCGGACGGTCGAATTATTCCCAGTTGCAGCATGTGTTCAAACTCCGCCTTCGCTGCCTGAAAACGCTCCGGTGCTAGTCGTCTCGGTCGAGCAAAGACGGGAGGACCTGAAGTGCGGATATGGTGCACAACATCATGTTGAACCTCACCACTGCGAATATGGGGGTTAATTATATTGGGGTGACTAGCAGCAGTTGCCGAATAGGAGTAGCAATATCCGTATCCGCACGCGATTAGACCGACGAAAATTTTCATTCAGCCAGCGGGTTGTCAGGCCGTGGAACTCGCTTCCAAGCGAGATGGTGACGGCTGACACAGTTTGTGCTTTTAAAAGAAAACTCGCTCGTCTAGTTTTCGACAGAAATCGGCTTGTACAGCATGACTATGCACAGCCAGTTTTGTAAAAGCTGTCATATACAATCTTCCACACAAATTTACAGTGACCCTATGCACTACCTTATGATTACGATTGAACTGTGACCCAAACACATTTTAAATTCCTGCAATTTTTTTATTTTCGAGTGTGAATCTGCGAAAGCACTGTACATAAATAGGGTCATCAAGGGCTCTGCCTGTAACTCTTCAATATATACATATACATATACAAGTTGGTGTAGGCAGTAAAGGGAGTTAGTCCACGAACAAACAGACCGGTTGTGCGGTCGAGGAGACGGGCACATCGGCAGTCGACAAGGAGATCAAACTCGATAAGAAAGTCCGAGACGAGGATTGCATGAGGGACATCAGCAATCACAAACATCCAGATGAACGGCCGACGAAGGCCCATGTTCAGGGTGAGGGACAGACTGCCAAAAGTGGGAATGGGAGAACAGTTGGCAGCTTGGAGGTGAAGATCATGGCTAGGGAAACGACGATCAGCTGCATTCGGGCGAACAACGCTGATTTGGGCTCCAGTGTCCACCAGGAAACGTCAGCGAGTCGCAGTGTCGCAAACATAGAAGGTGCGACCAGAGCCGGAAGATCCAGAGCAAACGTCTGGCTGACTGGTTTCCCTGTTTTGGTTTAAAAGAGCAGGGTTATGAACAGCGACGTGCCTTTACGCCGAAATTAGTGTGATACCAACAAGTATCAGCAGTCCGAGGTCGCGAACGAGAACAACGACGGCTGCATGAGCGACTAGAAGAAAGGCGGGCGAGCTGTATTTTAAGGGAGGCCATCTCATCCGCCATGGCCGAAACCTGTTTCATTAAATTTTCGTTCACTGACGATGAAGATGAGGAAATCTGGGCAACAGAAGCTGACTGGAACCGCTGCACCTCTATCATTCGATCCGCCATCTCAGCCAGCAGTGAGATCGTAAGATCTTGGGAGCCGGACGCCAGGATCGTCTGAACATCTTCGGACAGACGCTCTAGGAACATCTCCTCGACAAATTTATCGTCAAATTGCATGTCTCCAAGGAGAGAACGCATTCGACGTAGAAGCTCTGAGGGCTTCCGATCACCCAGTTACTCCTCCTTAATTAACTGGTGATAGCGCTGTCGGTCAGACACAGAATTAAGTCGGAGAATTTCTGCCTTTAATGTGGAGTAGGGAGCACCTGCAGGAGGATTAGCTAGCAAGGACTGAACTTGAGAGATAATACTGGCCGGGAGAAACTCCACCAGTTTGTGGTATTTCGCCAACTCCTTAGTAACGTTAGCAGAATAAAAGGCTGATTCTGTGCGGATGAAGTAAAGTTCTGGAGCGTGTTGCCAGAATTCAGGCAAGGTAAAATTGATGGCGTGAAGGGACTGGGCGGGGGCATTAAGTTGTTGATTGCAGTGAGACATAATAAGACAGAGATGGCAAGATGTCAGAATTCCAGAGGAAAGTAAACGTAAATGGAACAGATATTCACAAACAAATAGTATGTTAAATGTTATTAAGTATGACAGAAAGGTATAAAGTCTGCGTTAACGTGGGGAGTCACCAATGTCACATTACCATTTACAACAACCTCTTAGGATTCATTAACTGCTGAAAGGCAGCTAGTTGTAAAGTGATTCCACACTAACAGCACAGGTACTAGCCGAAAACCCATAGGCGCGTGTTTCGCCGGTATTCCGCCGCTGCATGACACAGCTGTGAGGGGTTCGGCTCGTCAGTGGGTTCCCCAGCATTCCGCGTCTGTTTTCTGGACCCACTAACGAGCCGAATCCCTTACAGCTGCGCCATGCAGCGACAGAATATCGGCGAAACACGCGTGTATAAGCTTTTGGCTAGTACCTATGCTGTCAGTATGGTATCACCGTATCCTAAAGTATGCTGATACCTGCCTGTCGGCAGTTAATGTATATTATGCGGTTATCCGCTGTGACTGATGGACTTCGGATCAAATATTAATACATAAAGTTCTTGGTCTTTGCCGATAGGCCTTGAATAAACTGATGTACTCCCAGTACGTGGATAATTTCTGAGGAAATAAAAAAAGCGACGGTTTCCAAATTGGAGTATCTACCTGAAAAGTGACGGGGAATGCTGGGGGACCCACTGGCGAGCTGAATCCCTCGCAGCTGCGCTATGCAGCGACAGAATATCGGCGAAACGCGCGTGTATGGGCTCTTAAATAGTACCTGTGCTGTTAGTATGGTATCGCCTTACCCCACGGTCATCATAACGCTTCAAGTACACACTACTTTGCCGATGTGGCATGTTCTCGTCCAACTCTAACGTCTCTGCCGGTTCAGCCGTCTTCAGAGTCCGCGGCAGTGTGGTCCACGTCCCTCAATTATTGACCAGACCCTTAGCGACCTTGTTAGTTCGACTTTTCATTCCCGAGAACCAAAAGTAGTCGGTTGGATGTCGCCACAATTGCCCACTTTTTAAATGGCCACCACGGCGGCGACGCCGTCTTGGAATATATGTTAGAAAGACATTGCGGATGCGCTCTCCCGCTGGCCGTCCGAGTGTACGACCAAACAAAAACGGGTATTCTTCCTTGCAACGACCATTTTAGGTATTTAAGACAAAGGAGATAAACCGTAAATACCCTGTTTAGCAGATACTGATAAAGCTAACTTTAATTGTACTCTCGCACTCACCAATCTTCCTCGCATACGAGTTGTTGCGAAGAGATTATTAGCACTTGCAGGACACGGGGGACGCGTTGCGCGTGGAATATGCGCTGTAACTAGTCTCGACATTAGCCAGTCGGTGGTGGAGAGGACCCAGGGCAGACAAACTGTTCGGTCAATTAAAGCATCTCGCAACACTGGAGAGTTGGACCATTGTCTGCGGTCTAAAAACGCCAGGCAGTATCCTGGTCACCCCGGCGTTTATTCCGAGACGAATGTGCGACAGGTGAAAGCCATTCACTCATATGCAGATTGAACGATCGGAAGTAGACCTCCAAGCAAGACGATGGCGTTGACACAGTCAAGGTGCGAGACGCTATCTTGCCTAAGTGAACGCCCTCGTAGTCCTGGAGCGCCATAGGCAGAATGTTCTCGCGAAAAATCGAAGAGAACTGAGGGGAACAGAACATTTTCGGACACTAGCACCCAACTGGGAAGTACTCGTCTTCTTCCCCCTAAGCTCGGGCTGCCGTGTGTTAGTAGCGTTCTTTAATTAAGGCTTTGGAAGCATGCCGGTAGTATTCATGGCCTCCTGGAGAATATTTCGTTAGGCCAAATCGAACTTTCCGTCAAAATCGAGGGGACAGGGAGTCATCTTCTGTTGAAAGCCATATTGTACAACTATTCGTCGCAGGTTGAGCACTCGACCGACGTATTTTGAACCGATGCGAAAACCACTCAGGCGTTGTTTTAGAGAAAGAGAAAGAGAAGTTCTGAAAGAGAAAACAGAAGCCTGCTTCTAGTCTTCGAACGCAGAGAAATTTAAAGTTAGTAAACTAGCATCCATCTGAGTAGGAGATGTTTGGATGTTCCGTGCCTAAAAGTTTTCTAGTAAAACGTCTTCAGACATTTTCAATTTTTAAACCACCGACCTCGTTTATCAAACCAAAGAATGGGCGAAAATACTCGAGAGTGGGAAGAACTAACATGTGATAAAGTATTAATTTAATTTCAAGAATATAGGAATTTAAAGAAATAAATTCACAAATCCGAGCTGCTTTCGCATAGTTTGAAATGACTTTTAAAAATGATGATCGTTTAATTTTTCATTGTTTACTTGTCACCATGTCAACTGTTGATGAACTCCGCCGGGCAGTATATCGGTATTTAGAGGAAACTGGAGGATTGCGCAAACTTGAAGCCCAAACTGAGGCTGAGGTATTTTCAGCCCTTAATAACATGGCTAGTAATGGTGAAAGAAAACCGTCAGACCCCATCCATTCGGAAAATTTCCTTGTTAACGAGTTGATATTAGAATACTTCAAATTCAACGAGTAAGTTCCCGGTTATTCAGTTAATTGCCTTATCATCTAAATTAAATTAAAGGGGGCTTCTGGTATATTCTTTTGTACGTCCGAGTAGTCGAATATTTTCTCGCCAAATGTATATGTATATAACTTCATATATATATATATATATATATATATATATATATATATATGCTTGCACAAACATGAAGGGAGGTTCGAGGTTTAAGTAAATTGTCCCGTTTGTCATCCCTTAAAAACAAAAGAGAAAAGGCGACCTCATGAACACACTGCATTTTTGCTGACGTCTCGGCAAATTTGGAGAATGATAGGCTAGGTTTGCATATTGTAGCGACCAAGGTTGTTTAGGAAGGCACACGCAGTGTAATTTAATCAGATAACTTCCTAACACAGTTATTAGATTTTCCACCGCATTCCTCCGGGCGAATAAGACAGAACAGTACTTAGGCTGGTATACAAGGTATGCTTATAACAGAAATAAAGTTGGGACATAGAGAAACAGTTAATATATAAGAAATAGATGATTTCCACAATGAGACTGTTTCGTCTGGACAGAAGACAACCCTTCATGGAAACTTGACATTTGGATGGAAACACAGCACTGTTGGCAATACCGGGAGAGGGCCAGGAAAGACAGGCGTAGAATGTTAGTGGGAGACGCGCTGCGACGAATCTTGTAAGGGAGTAGATGGCAGTTGAGGGATGGGATACCGGCTGTCTTGAGTAATATGGTTCTGCGCGAAAAAGTGCCTTCATGTAGTTAGGAAAACTCTGTCCAACTCGTGATCTGTTACTTTATGCATAAGAAGTTAAAGTACTGTGTGCGTGGCTTTAAATCGTTACTCCACTTAGGTTTTTTCGTAAAAAAGTTCAACAAGCGTAACGCTTTGAACCAGCATTGACAGGTCGGTTTTTATGTCAAATTTTAGTTCCCAAAGTAGATTTCAAAAAACTTCAATGAAGGATATCCAATCATTGGTTGCGAATCAGTTTAAAGATAACGAATTTGCTTTCTACGACTTGTAAAGATAGGATGCATTTTCGTTTCATATCGTATAATGGCTAACGCTTATTTAGATAAGATCTTATGAAAAGGATGCATTTATTATTTGTTCATAATACACTGTTCCCTCATTTATTTCGAACAGTTGATTTACTCTTCTTATTGTATACGGCTGTCGTCAAACCCCACAGATGTCACTGGTGATACTTTTCATGGAAAGGCGATTATTTACAGCTTACCTGGATAGGTTGACTCATTATTTTCCGCAGTAAAGGACTAATTTTCCATAAACGACGTCCATATACTGACTGACTCTGTTGATCTGTCTCTCCAAACTGGGCTTGTTGTCACGCTCAATTAGTCATCAACATTTATTTTGAGTTACCATCATATAAATACCGTTCGGGTTGTGATGGGCACACATAAACCACCTCAGTCGACTCTGTTTCATTTTTATCGTTCGAAACGAGTTTGGAGTGGGTCGTTCTCTGTCAGCGTTGGTGTCAGGTCCCTAAAATTTGACTATCGTTCACGTGCTGAATCCATTACCCAGGGTCGTACAGAACGACTGTCTTGAAGTATTGCCGGCACTCACAAACTTTAGCAATGTGTGCCTATGCACTTTTGGTGACTTGCAGAAACCTTAAGAGCGACAGAGATTGTCCGGTGAGTATTATATTGTGTGACATGACAACGAGCAGATCCGAAAATCCTTGAACCGTTTTACCTTTTCACGCCAATAATCGTAATAAATGCCAACTGTCGATCAAAAACCCTTCTCGCAAAATCTGGTTTTTGTTGATTAGGTAAGTAGACTGTCTGATTAAATGTTGTAAATAATTTGAGGCCATGCACTCTGCAGGCCATCATTATCCAATACCCGTGGATTGGTACCATTGATATAATCGGGACCGGAAAGCCAAAGTTCTAGTTCAAATCCGACAGTGTCAAAACCGCGTAGAGTCGTTCAGAAAATCCCGTGAACGACCAAATCAAATTGGATGGGCAATAGCATACAAGTTTATGATATGCTAAGCTAAATATCAAGCGATCGTCTAGGATTAAGAAGGATCACAATTGCACTCTTTGGGCAATAAGATATCTTGATTATGACTAAGATTGTTTCGAACACAGTTTAGCTGTATCCATCGTAGGAACCGACTATGAGTGGAAAAAATGTTGCAAAAAAGTCAGCTAAGCAGATGGCCGTGCAAATAATTACGCAATCCACTCACTTCCATCTGAAACCCGATTTTGTTTTCCCCTTTACTTCAACGACTCATGTTTTAGACAGTCGGCAAGTGTCAATGACTTAGACCTTTGCAACAATCTCTACGAGAAATATATGTAGGCAGTTTTTGTACCTCGCCGTTTCTCCGTTTATGAAGTAAGACACACCGGTAACTGAGCCCACGTTCTCATGATAAATTCATCCTCTCTGGCTCGTTTAATCGCCTCGCGGGATCAGAGTACCGATTACTGGCCACATTTTATTTTAACAATGTCATCGATTATTTAGTTTTTCGAATGTCAGACTGGCTTTCTAGGACGGCCTGAACAGGAACGGCTTCCGGAAAGACGCCAATTTTGGATAAATGGCTGACACTTGAACGTGATTTTAAAGATGAAACTGTAAGCGAATGAAAAATCTTCAAACATAATCCTTCGAAGGTTAAGGAAACATCTTGTTCTAACTTCTAAACAACGATTTTACAAATGAAAGGCAATCGCAGAGAGTAATTCCAGGGACATGTCTGCTCAACTCGGTAATAGGAATTCTAGCGAAAACTGACATGACATTAGTAAAGTAGATTTAGCGAAGACAGAGTAGCATAAACATGAACGGGCCCTGAAGTGCCACGCATCAAATAACGTATACCATTTGATTTGTTTGCTGCTACCATTGAGGACGTTAGAACTGGATATTAAGGTTCAAGACACGCATCGAGAGAATTTACGGCTTGAGACTTACTGATGCCGCTAATCTATTTATGCTCGACGGTCTTGTAAAAATATTCCGATTACCGCCCATCCAATTGAATTGGCGCATAAACCAAGCATTCCCTTACTGCATGTATATCCCAAATATAGGGTTGGCTATTCGAATAAGTAAAGTGTAAACAAGATCCCATGCTGTTTATTGTGCGCAAACGAGAAAATCGGCCTCTAAACGCACTTTCCAACGTCAGTTGACAGTAATGAGGCGAAATCGCCTGTCCCAAGTCGCCATACATACCTTGAACACAGAGTACACATTTGTTTGGGACAAAACTGTTGCTGTTTACCCGTTCGAAAAAGGCCGAATGTTCCTTGGTGCCATGAAGTTAGATGAATTCTTAATCAACTGGCATATCAGATTTAATGACAAATCCATTGATCTCAGAAATGAACGAAAAAGACGAGAACCATTTAGGACGAACTGACACAAGCGGCGTCTGTTTGCTTGGCGCAAACGCCAAGCAAACATCGGTTTTTTAAGTATACTTAAGGTGCTGTTTTTGTTCTCCGTCTGCGCCTGACTACAACCTATGAAACCGGCGTTAAAAGTGTACAGAATAAAATTTATTTTCCCCAAGAGTATGTTTGATTTCAGCTTATATTTTTGGATGTCACCTCTCCAATAGCATTTATGGTCGATTTGCTATCTCGTGAAAAGTTAACCGAAATTCCGTAATGTGTTTTCACATCAAAAAGATTGCTTAAATAGGGCTTTAATATTCACGATTGTGCAGCAGAATCCCAAGATATTTCAATCATACCACGATGCCACATTTCAGATGAGCTTCCTTCCGCCATCTGCAAAAACTACGCTCTGTAAAAATGACCACTAAAGCAGTGTGAATTCTTCCCATTAATTTTCGATATCCTTATAAATCCAAATGTATTTTACAGAATAAATTCAGTAAAACATTCATCCTTCTGTTCATTGATTAACAAATTACGTCTGCTTTAAATTTTATACCTGAAGAAAGAGTATAATTCGGTTTTAAAAGGCTTCCAACCCCCATATATTTTGCAACCCCACCCGCTCTCACAGCTGCACTTAGGATTTCCAAACTGCAAGCTGTATATTATTATGTATGAAGGATTACAAGTTTATGTATTCTTTTTAAGAAGATATCATATGAGGTCCATGAGCTTTTGCAGTGGCTTTGAGCCGTATTATATACTTTACAAGCAACGTTAGTGAATGTAGAGATACGATGTTTTATGAGTCGACATCTAACGACTTTAAACAATTCCATGATTAGAAACTCTTTTCAATCCTGGAACATACACTTTCTTCAAGTATAAGATGTAAAAGGTACATGATCTGCTACCAAATCAATACAAAAACGAACATTTTTTAAAATGTTTTTTGTAAAACTTGTTTAACTTCATAAGGTCATCGAAAATTAATAGGAAGAATTCATTATACCTAAGTGGCCACTTTTTAGGGCGTGGATTTTTCAGACGAATGAAAAGAAGCTGGTTCGAAAGCCGGCGTCCTGACGTGACTGAAGCATTTTGACACTGCAACGCGGTAATTAATGTGGAAATCCTGCCTTGGTAATATTTTCGAGTCGAAAAAACGTTTCAGTATCTCGGTTAACATTCCATGCGATAGCACACCCACTGTTCACATATAGGCAGAATGAGACTACCGAAAAAGGCAAAGGAACTTGAATAGCCATTTCTGCCTTTTTAGCCGCAATCAGCCAGCAATACCCAGCCTCAGGTTTGCTTGCAACCTCCTGAGGTTCGAAGCCGCGTTCTGTTGGTTGAAAGTCTAACGCTCTAACCACTGAGCCAGGGGGGTCGTTTCCGTGTCGGTTGTCAGTTTTTCTCATGAGTATATTTAGAATTTACAAGTAAAACCCTGCAAAAGTTTTCCGAAACAACCACTAACAGCAGCAGTTATAGCCAGTAACTTCAAGCTGATTACAACATGATTTTCAAAGAAACAACAAAAACCTTGCTGAGGAAAATATTGACCAGACAGGAGCCCTAATTCAGCACCATTCTAATCTTGAATTCCACCAATGCGACTACCGGCCGAGCGTTGTATTACCCATGGCTGTTGACTTTATGTTGCGCAGTCACTTATCCCGATCAGAAAATGTCGGTTGGAATCGGAGATACTTACTCATATTAAAATGACCTCAACCCATTCATCCTGGTTGCGGGACAAAAAAGTGATGCTTGTTGTCAGCCTCAGAAACTCAAGGTAGGTTAATCGAAAGTTCTCGTTATGTTAAGGCCAACCAATAGTCGATAAATATTGTTCCTATAGAAAGGAGACTGGAATGATCTCTTCTGACTAATTTGCCCTTGTCAAGGGGCCACAACACAATCTTGTACTGGGGAGAATTTGTTCGAAGCTCGTCTCTATGTTTTCGCTTGAGACTAGCTGTCTAACGACTGCAAATGGGCCAGAAATGATGAAACCAATCTCCCTTTCTTTTCCGGAACGCCCCCTTATGAAAGTTAGAATACATGCCGGAGTCTAACTTTCCATATATTTTTTTAAACATTAAAGTGTAAGTTTTTGGCACCTGGTTGGCTGGTTTTCCATGAGATTGCTTTTGGGCCAGGAGTTCACGCAAACTTCTTCAACTGCATTCGTTTTCCTTGAAAATTTCCTGGTCAAACTGCAAACGTCATGCAGAGCACCGCCTTATTTATTTAAAACGTTATTGCATTTGTCTGATTTGCGGATATATGGCCTAAATTGCTTTGGTTCGTCTAAAATTTTAGCTTAAAGTTTTCGGAGAAGACATTCAGGAAAGAAGCAGAACACTTATCTCAACCCATTTCCAGACGGATTCTATGTCAAACGCTCAATGTACGTCCCACAGTCTCTACGAAGGCATTAGCTGTCAACAGCACTGAAGACCAAGAACATCCCACAACCGTAGAAAAGCCAGTGCCTCTTTTGTACTATCTAGTTGAATATTTCAAAAATTTAAATCTTGTAAATTCTGACAACAGAACGTGCCCTTGATTTCTCAATTGCAAAATATAGTACTTTTGATAGTTTTTGTCATTGACATTCAGTTTTATGCGGTTAATTGATAGAAGAGACATTCGTCGATTTGGCCAGCAAAACAGCCTTATTTTTGTTGGAAACATTATACTTACTATTACAGTGTGGAGAGAAATTCTACCTGCACACACAGATCATTTCGTGTCATGCGTACACAACAATGACGTGTTAGTTCAAAGCACAGACATCCAGGGGGCGATCTTAAACTTCTAAGGTACTGCAACCGTTTGTCCAGGCTTTACTAGGTTTACAATTTCCTTGGAACATTTAGCGATCGAATTTATTACTTGAGCTTCCTTTTCTTGATGTTCAGTAGTCTATTGCCTACTAACTCGCCTTTATTAGGAAGACTACGGCGATTCGGAATCCACCTTTTGGTTGCAATTCTGGCATAACGGAAAATTGCTGTCGCACAATGTCTACATACAATCGTTGCAGTCACCGTGTCTGTCATGGACTTCCCCCGGCTTGTTTATATAACTCTTCTCTCACCAGTTACGTATACGGTCGAAATCTAATTTTGGTACGGCTGTAAGTGTGGCTTAGGACAGCATTCATTTAAATGCCATTAACTGATACTTATGGGTACGCAGTCCTGGTTTGGCTTACTGACTCCTCCCTTATTTCGTGTATCTCATAATCCTATTGACACGTTTAATTGAGGGACGTACTGCTTTTTTAGAAAATGGAAACAAGGTTGACCTACTGCCTGTGGATTTCCAAGTCCCATCGGTCATCGGATCAAAAGTGGCGAGTGTTAGCTACCTCTGGAGGGAGCTACAATACGTGGGCTAACTCATGAAATGTCAGCCGAAATTTCGAAATTTGTTTCCGTTTCGAAAAGATTAATTAAGTAGAGTTGTAAAACTAATCATTTTTTAGCATAATTCTATAATAATCCAGTTACCTCAGGGTGTAGGCTTTTGAATAAACTTCTATCCGACTGCATGCAAGAACTATATTTTGCAAAAAATGACTAATTGATTAGCTTGCAATTTTCTAATTGATTTTCGAAGCCCTTAAAAATGCAATTATATTTCATGGAAAAATGCATAAAGATATTCATTCTTTTGCTCATTCGGTAGAAAATTGCGTCCTTTTCCAATTTTATACACAAACGAAGGGTAAAATTCGGTTTTAAAAAAGGTTCTAATCGTGGGATTTTTAATACCGTGAAATGGCCATTCATAAAACGTCGTGTCTCTGCATTTACTAATGTAGCTTGTAAGGTTAAAAAAATGGCTCAAATCCACTGTTAAATTTTATGAATCCCACATGGTCTTCTTTTAATACCGTAGAGAAATGTATGGTTTTCCATACGCAGAAAATATACGACTTGTAGTTTGGAAACCCTGAATGCAAGTGTAACGGCAGGTTGGGTTCAAAATTATTTGGGGAATTGGAATGGTTTTCAAAAACCGAATCATACCCTTCCCTCGATTATGAACTTGGAAAATGAAGTCATTTTCTATCGAATGAGCAAAAAAATGAATATTTCTATGCATGGTTCCATGAAATATAATTGAATTTTTAAGGGCATCGAAAATCAATGAGAAAATAGCATGCTACTTAAGTAGCCGTTTTTGCAGAGTATAGTTCTTGCACGCAGTCGGAAAGAAGTTCATTCGAAAGCCGGCACCCCGAGATAATTGGATTATTTTAGAATTATGCTACAAAATGATTATTTTCACATCTCTACTTAATTAATCTTTTCGAAACGGGAACGAATTTCGAATTTTCGGCTGACATTTCATGATATTTCTTGATTCTGCCAGTTGGTAAGGTCGGACCGTCGCAGACGAAAATATCCACTGCACACCAGCAGCGATGACTAGCGAATAAATTAGTTTGCGGTGTGGCGTAATTTCGTGGCATTTTCCTCACACTCCCTTTTATCTACCCACCACGTTCTGATGGCAAGGCGAGGTCAAGACGACCGAGAGTGGGCGTGGGCACAAGGGCTGACAATGCTGAATATCCCGTGTATGCGTGCAGCACGCGACCGGGTCCCACTTCATGCATCAGAATGCAGTATGCGCGCCTCGAAGCTCATATGCATGGGGATGCCGTAAAGGCGACATTAAGAGGGGACTGTTGCAGCCGGACCCTCAGCCCCGAGAAGGGCCGGGTTATCCTGTCAGTTGGCAACTTCATAAGCTATAACTGGTGGCGTGTCGTGGTTGATTTAAGCACGTCATATTTACTGTAGTGGTAGCTGTGTTGGTGTGCTTTGAGGATTAAGTTCCCAGTGTCCGCCTCACTCTTCCCTTATAGCATGTCCCAGCCGGATGTTCCAGTCTGTCAATTAACGGATGATGTAATGGAGCGCTGCAGATAACAAAGCTAGACAGTCCGTCCTGGGCGTGCCAAACGTGATCTGATCCCCATTCCATATACCAGGCTAAACTAAAGGACACGACCCCGGCTTAAATGAGGTGAATGTGAGTTTCAAAAATTCCCATGGAGGGATTCGGAGGGGTGTGCGAACATATATTTGTCTTCGATAGAATCTCATCAAGTTCATATACTTACATAGGAAGGGGGTCGAATAGAACATTTCTGCAGCTTGCCTTTGAGGACATCGCCTAAAAGGGGTCTGAGCGGCGGGCCCATACCGACGTCGTTCATTTGCGTATATTTTTGGTTGCCAAAAAGAAACTGGGCATTTAATGTGCATCTTAGCAATAGTTCCCTGATTGCGTTTGTAGGCATTCCTTTCTCCAGCTGCTTGGCCGATAGGAGTTCACAAATGTAGTCGACAGTCTCGGTGGGCCAGGCGTTCGTGAGAAATGATGAGACGTCTGGCGAAGACACCGCTACTTTGTTTAGGTTCAGGTCTTTGGAGTTTTCAGTGAATTTGTAAGTATTCCGATAGCTACGTGGTGCTAGCTGATGCTGTGCGCGATCTGACAGAGGACGCTACATCCCCAACACCGGCGTTTACAAAGTGGATCGCACACATGCTGCAGGAGGGACCCCTGCTGTGTTACGAAGAGACGTCGTGTAGGCGTGTGTTGTGGAAGAGGTTCGCATGTAGCGTAGTGTGGGTGTGTGCAGGTAGGACAAGGTATCCTGACAGAGTTTGAACCGCGTCGTTTTTCTGAATTTGTTCGTCAAATAGGCCCATGCGATTGCCGAATGTCCCGGCCCACTGTCTGCAGATGAGACCGGAGTGATGGGTGTACGTCGTACCTTCAAGCACTGGTTCACCGGTCTCACTGCAAAGGATTAGCAAATGCCTGAGCAGGCCGGTGCGTGAATGACATGTAGGGGGGCAGTTGGGATAGAATGAGACCGTGTCTGCGGAGTTGGTGTGAGTGCAACGTTGTTGGCTGTTTGGTAGCGCTGGTGATGATGCAGGAGGAGGAGGAGGAGGAGGGAGAGAGGTATCTTTTTGGTGTTGGAGAAGGGTTTGTTGTGATGGGATTCCGGCGAATTCTGCTATTGCTTATGCACATATGGCCCTGGGCCGATACGAGTAGGTGAGGCGTGTTTGACGAGCGTATATCGGTCGCACTGTGATGGATTCTAAAGTGACCTATCCGACCAATACGTGATTGGAGGATGAGGTCTCAAGACGAACGGGCTGGAACTGAGTACATATTGCTGGTGGAAGAGTGATGGGGGTTATATTGGGCGGGGTGGCATGAGTGTTGACACTGGTGGTGCTAGCGGAGGCGGTGAGCATAGTGATGATGTTTCGTAAGATAGTGGGCGGGTTGGTCTTGCCAACAGTGCACTGGGTCGGGAGATACCCAACAACGCCACTCCGTGTCCTCGCTTTCCTTTGTCAATATGGATATGATGGTAGGACTGGGGTGCTTACAGCAATGCACCAAAACTGTCAGTCTCGAACAAGGACCTCCCAGGACTCGGGATGGGTTCGTAGGTACTCACGATAAGGCGTCAGGGTGTCCTCGTAACGACATTTCCGCCCACCTTGCCTGCGAGCATTCATAGTGATGTTGCCGCAGAATAGCCGCTTGTGCAGGTGCTCGTCATTTATTCCTTTTTACCTGGCCCCTCCGTTGCAGTTGCATTTGTCTCAGCATGGCGTGGACACTGAGGGCTCCGGTACTGTCCAGCGTCACAGTTTCTGGGATCATCTGCCAGAATGACTAATATACATGTAAACATATAACAATAAGTAGTTGTGAGTCTGTTTGAACGGAGCCTTGATAAAGGGGGTAAAAAGGACCGGGTAGACGTCTTCGAGGAGGGGACCACACGCCAAGCTCGGAGAAGCTACGCCACGACGTAATCATGACTGGAATAAAAAAACTCCATAAAAGCAGGGCACTAGGAATCCGGTTGTGGGTTTTGTTTCGACAGAAGACAATTTGATTTAGAATCAACTCACTCCGGCAGAAACCAGTTCTATGGTTACGTTCGGTTGGCAAGACCACGCACGTATAAATCTGAGGTGACATGTTGCGCAGTTGCCCCCCTCTACGGAAAACCGTTGCAGGTGGTGTTTTCGCATGTCTACGTATCCTGCTAGCATGATCTTGGTTACACTGACGTCGCATGCACAGGCATTTGAGGATTGGTTGTGTGACCAAATGCGGACGCTTGTTCTTTGCAGGAAGCCAGCTTATAGTTTCCACAAGCTGCCGTTACGCGACGGACAGTTGCTGATCTACCGATTTTCTTGATAGAGCGAAGAAGAATGTAGTAGTCGTTTCCGGTTTGGTTGCTATCTTCAGTCATCCACCACCTGCCGGGAAAATCTGTGATTTGGACCAAGATCCAGCTGGTTAGTGATCTCCATGCCCTACTAGCTGGGCCTACGCACGGACTCTGTCGGCTGCAATCAGGAGCATTCGAAATCTCGTAGAGCTAACAATCCCCAGTTTGGTCTGATTGCAAGATGGAAAACATATATTCTGTCCCATATTGATATTCCCGTCTGCAGCTCCTTTATGTGAACGCATTCCCAAAATCCACCGGTACTCATGGCGTGTTACCAGCGAAGGCAGTGTGTTGACATGTGATCAAGTTTTAGGGCGTTAAAGTTAATGGCGAGGAATACGCTGGTCAGGTTTTCTGGAACTAACTTTGTGCAGTGGCTAGTTGATGACGTCAAGCAGGCCAGAAATTGTCATTTCAGTCTCTAAGAAGAAGGAGATGAGATTGCTAGAACAAGAATTCTATTTGCCTAACGTTTAGAATTCTCACTCGAGCCCACCAGCTAATCTGCGTAGCTGACTCTGATGACGCCTCCCCCACCGTACATCGTCCGCCAGTGCACACGACTAGTCCTGCGAGTTGACATTCGGAAGGTGACAAGAGCAAATCTCTACCAGTTCAATCGTTCTGGCTTGTCGCGAGCATCGTTATGCGATGGGTATCATCAAGATGGCAGAGATTGCGGTTGCTCTTCAGGGTATTATGGACCTTCGTCCGTAACTGAAGGTGCTCCATGCAATAATAGTCCTGCCTCTTTGTTCGGAATCGTAATTACTGAAGTTATACTAACCTACAGTCGGCAACCGATCTCATGAAATTTTAGCCAAAATTGCGAAATGCGTTTTCGGCTAGAAAGGATTACTTAAATGGGATTGTAACATGGCCTAGCTTGTGACATTACCCCGTAATATTCCAGACGCGCGAGGATATTGGCTTCCCTTTCAAATCATTTCCCTCAGTTTTATACTCGAAGAAAGGGTGTCTTTCGATCTTGATAAAGTTTCAAATTATGATATTTATATGACCATTCAATGTATTTTTGAATAACATCATATCTGTCTAGTTAATGTTTTTCTCATTAATTATACAACATAGTCCACATCCATTGCAGCATTTAATGGGCCATACATGGCCTTTTCTCAATGGCATAAAATGCATGTTTTTCCCTATACGAAAAGTACACAGCTTCTAGACTGAAAACCCTTAACGAAGATGTAAAGGTAAGTCGAGTTCAAAATTATTCGGCCTTCTAAAACCAAAAGCTCAAACCAAAGCTCAAAACCAAAACTCAAAAGCCAACATCCTGTCGTGTGTGGAATATCATGTGGTTAGGCCACAAGATAATATTAAAGCCCGACTCAAATAGTCCTCCCTAGTCGAAAACCCATTTCAGAATTTCGGTTACCCTTTTAATGAGACTGCTCACGGACTGTCCGGCCGAGGGGAAGCACATTGCCCTCAGATTTCCTTCAGAATACGCTTACATGTTATTTTCTAGATGCATTCTCCCACCTAGTTCCTACCCATCTTCTCAAAATCCGACCCAATGGATATTCCCAAAGAACTGTTTGGCCATAACGAGAAAATTAGGTAGTTCCCATTGCATAACAACAGTCGGATAAGATGCCTATTAATTTTATTAAATGCACTTTCGTTTGGCCACGGCGTTCAAAATGCGAAAGCTGTGTCCTGTAAACACAAAGAGGTAAGTCTTCAGCAAGTTGCCGAAGGCATTTAGGGAGTATTCGGGATGTCCTTTTTACTTTGCTGTAGTAGTCTTCTGTAGCCTGCTACCTCCCTCAGCATTGAATAACATTTGTCAACTTCTTTCACCAGGAGTAGTAGATCGTCTGACTGGAGCGGTGGCAGCTCCGTGCTGGATGCCCGGTCAAGGTCAAACTCCGCGCTCTCGCCCAATAGCTGCCGATCTCGAGCTTCCAAGTACTCATTGATGGGCAGTTGCGTCTCTACCGTCGATAGGAAGCGACCTTCACAGTGATGTGCGAGGGCTCGCAGCAGGGACTCTGTCGCTCTGCGGGGTGTTTTTGTAAATAAAAGAAAGCTTTTAGGCAAGCACTCAGGAATTGGTTGTCCATTTGGTGGTCACAGTCGGACACTTGCGTGTTGGGATAAGAAGCTTGCATGGCTAAAACACTTACTCTAAGCGAATCGACATATATTCGTTTTATGCATGAAAAAAGTGGTGGGTCTGGCTAGCAGAATAGAAGTCAGAGGGGAAGTTATAGTTAACTAAAGTCACCGAAGGACCAACCAGCCGACTACAAAGACTAGTGTGTCGTTAGTTAGATATTTTTCATTTGTTTTATCTTCGAGGCTGTTTTTAAGCATGGGTTCGAAGCATCAGAGCCGCGTAAGGCCCTCGTTTGCGCTAGACACATTCTTTATTCATTCATTTGAATGAGTGTAAATGTGAACATCAGGCGAAAAGTTTTCTTTGCTTGTGATATAACACCTACTTCTGTTACCCTGTATAAGGAAAAAAGTTGCCACCTACTGGAATTGCGGACCACAGCAAACTTCCCTCTGTGTGAAGAGTCCATCTCCCACTTCTAAGCCAGCAGAAACCTAGATGACTGTACACCATATTGAAAACATCCTCCATTTGGGGGATGCGTTGACCGTGACCCAACGAATGAATGCCAGGCACTAAATTAAGTCGATAATTTGACCGTGTTTGGTAAAGAGAGTTTTCTGGCCAGACTTTCCTCTACTTTCCATGAGACGTATTGACAAAAAACTTCTACTTAATGAAATTTGGGACTACAAAAAAATTGTTTTGCAGGAGGGAGGGTGCCAGTGATTTAATGGTTCGAACAGTTCGAAAAATAACCGGAAGTCGCTAAAGACTGAACGCCTCTTGAGGGAGGCGGACATTGTGCTGATGAATCTAAGGCCCAACCGCTAATGCGAAATTACTCACACGTGATCGTGAGCACTCATTCCCCCCCCCCCCGAGTGGGAAGAAAGGAAAATCTACGGCCCTGCATGCAAAAGCGAGGATGACAGATTTCCCTAAAAGTTTCAATATGTAATTGTGCTCTGACTTGGGCTAACAGCGGCTCCTCGATTTCGTCAACGGGCGGACTCTTTCATATTTTGGCGAACAGGAGAGGACAACTAGTTAGAGGGGTGCACTTTGTACCTGTAGACAAGGATTCATATGCTTCGCTTGTGCTCAATGAACCAAAAATTTTACGCGGTGGACTGAGAGACAGTGGATTGACTATTGGAACTTTCCAAGCCATGGCCAAACTGACACGGTTACTCTTCCCTGGATAGGAAAAGGGGTTTTTCGGTATGTTGGGTGACCTTTAGTAAAGTCGACTGGGACCTCCTCTCAAATAAACATAGGAGACTGACGAGTCCTGTGTGACTTCGTTCTCAGTCGCCTTACATATATTTTACGGTTTAAAAAGGTGTAATTGTAAGCTCTAGAGGAAAATAGTGACCTTCATTCCCCGACCCCGACTGATGTCAGGGGAGCATTCATGCCTCGCTCTCTCGCTCTATCAAGACGAGACA